GACATGAGGTTGGAGTGGTCGAGGGATCTAAATCATGGACAGCTTTATCATCCACTTTATGGATTTTGAGTTTAACTCTGGGTGAGATGATGGGTTTGGAGCAAAGCCATGACTTACCCTGATTTCTGCTCTCATTGGATCACTATGGCTACTGTGTTGAGAATAGACTGCAGGTGAGCAGGAGCGGAAGTAAGGAGACTGGCTAGGAGGTTATTTCAATCATTGAGGCAGGAGGTGATGGAGGCTTAGAACAGACTAGCAGCTGGGAAGGTGGTCAAAAAAAAGGTGTTGGAGACTGAGTATATGTTGAAAATGGAGGAAAGAGAAGAATCAAGAATGACTCCAGGGGCTGGGCATGGTGGCTCATGCCTGTAATCCCAGCATTTTGGGCAGCAGAGGTGGGTGGATCACCTGAGGTCAGAATTTTGAGAACAGCCTGACCAATATGGTGAAACCCTGTCTCTATTAAGAATAGAAAAATTAGCTGGGTGTGCTGGTGAGCACCTACAGTCCCTGCTACTTGGGAGGCTGAGACAGGAGAACGGCTTTAACCCTGGAGGTGGAGGTTGCAGTGAGCTGAGATTCTGCCCCTGCACTCCAGCCTGGGCGACAGTGTGAGACTATGTCAAAAAAAATAAAAATAAAAGAATGACCTCAGAGTTTTTGCCTTGAGCATCTGGAACAACACAGTTTCTGTGAACTGATCTGGGGAAGAAATGTGGAGGAAGAAATTTGGGGAGGAAGATCAGGAGTACAGTTTTATATATATATATATATATATATATATATATATATATATATATATATATATACCAAGTTTGATATACTGATAAAATGCTAATTTGACATTTCCCACTCAAAATTACAGGACAAACAGTTCCTGTAGGCAGCTGACAAGAGTTAACATCGAGACATTCCCCCCTCCCTGAAGCCTCTTCCCCAATAGTGTATCAAGTACAGAACTGCTTGCTTAACATTGAATAAGAGCCAACTTCAAATCAAGCTTCCATGTAGATACATGCTGTTCAATTTAAACTCTCCTCTCCAACACATTTCCCACTGGAGTTATTCCCTCCTTCAACCCCCATATGCTCTCCCTCTCCTCTTCCAATGATGCTATGATGCCACCTGAATGAGAAAGTTTGAAGTCATCCAGCATTTTTCAGTTCATCAGATCACACATGCCCACATCATCCTCTCAGAACTCTCTCCAATCTCAAATGATGAGCTTTCTCTTTTGCTCTAAGAAAAGTCTTAACTTGTGTTGTTTTTTCCTTAATCTTGTCTGTCTCTCCTACTAGACTATGAGTTCCTTGCCCAGGAAATTCTAGTAGTTCTTTATAAAAATATAGTGAAATAATAAATAAGCAAATAATAAATAAATGAACAAATGGTTTTAAGCTGCTGATCTTTTCCAGTTTTCTGGATTTGGGGCCCCTCGATCCCCTCCCTAGAATCACCAATCTATCTGGGCTAAACAGATCAAGGCCAGACTGATTTTAGTTAGTGGCTTATGGAATACATCTTTTTACTATTTAGACCTACCTGTATCATTAAGCACCTACTTTCCAGGTAAGAGCTAGCTGGAGATAAGGTCTTTTGTTTATGACTTCTCTACTTCCACTGCCTTTGTCTCTACAGGAAAACAATAATACCACGTTTATATTTTTGAAACTCTTTTCACACATATTACCTTGTTGTATCCTGTCAGAAATAAGAGTTCTAAATGCACAGCTAACCACAGTTATATCTAAATTGCTTTTATTTTCTATCCCTTCAATTTATTCTTTTGGGCTTTTGATCTCAGTGTAGTTTGAAGAAAAAGGCTTCTCTATTACATTTTGCTGTGCTTTTTTTGGGACATTAATTGCAAAGGGTTATATGGAGTTGTAGATAGGGAACAATCATTCTGTACAGTTTCTATAGTTATTGTTTATTGAAGGGCCCTTACAATGTAACAGCTCACAATAAATGCACTATAAATTTAGTTTCCTCATTTTCACAAAACAATGTCTCCTTTTTGATCATATATTAGTCTTTTTCTCCCCAAGTCACTCTATCCCTCCTCAAGCTGATACTATAGTTCCTACTTCAGGTGACCTGCCTAGTTCTCTTGTGACATTTGGCCAAAGAGAAAGATTCCTGGGATCAGACTCAGCATCAGACCCAACAGGAAAGTCAATTGTCCATCTTAACCACCCCTGGGGGGAAAAAAAAGACTCCCTATCCCTCTTTAACTTTGAATTTGGGGGGATATTTCTGCAGGAATTTGAAAATTGGCACTAGGCCCTTAGGGACTCTGATGTCTCCTGAGTAACAAGGAAAGGAACCAATGTGCTAAACTCTGAAGTCCTCCCAGCTTTCTTAAGTCATCAGCAGCTCCCAGACCATTAAAATTTCTTTTCTTTTCTTTTTTTTTCTTTTGAGACAGAGTCTCACTCTGTTGCCCCGGCTGGAGTGCAATGGCGCAATCTCGGCCCATTGCAACCTCCGCCTCCTAGGTTCAAGCGATTCTTCTGCCTCAGCCTCCCAAGTAGCTGGGATTACAGTCGCCTGCCACCATGGCCATGGCGTTTTAAACTGTCATGGTGCTGATGGGAGTTTCCTTTAGTATACTAATGCATTATAATTAGCATCTAATGAGTAGTAAGGATGACCAGAGGTCACTTTCACCACCGTCTTGGTTTTGGTGGGTTTTGGCCGGCTTCTTTACTGAAACATGTTTTATCAGCAAGGTCTTTGTGACTTGTATCTTATGCTGACCTCCTAATTCATCTTGTGACTTAGAATGCCTAACCTCCTGGGAATGCAGCCAAGTAGATCTCAGCCTTATTTTACCCAGCTCCTATTCAAGATAGAGTTGCTCTGGTTTGAATACCTCTGACAGTCTGATGAGACCTTATGACTTGTAGGCTCTAACTCTTAATAGCCCTTAGGTAAGAATTTGGGGCCTGGTGCGGTGGCTTATTTCTGTAATCCCAGCACTTTGGGAGGCAGGGGCAGGCAGATCACCTGAGGTCAGAAGTTCAAGACCAGCCTGGCTAATGTGGTGAAACCCCGTTTCTACTAAAAATACAAAAAATTAGCCTGGCATGGTGGTGCACGCCTGTAGTCCCAGCTACTTCAGAGGCTGAGGCAGGAGAATCGCTTGAACCCAGGAGGCAGATGTTGCAGTGAGCCAAGATCCTGCCACTGCACGCCATCCTGGGATAGAGCAGACTCCATCTTGTAAATAAATAAATAAAATGAAAATAGAAAAAAAAAAAAAGCTAGGCATGGTGGCAGGAGCATGTAATCCCAGCTACTGGGGATGCTGAAGCAGGAGAATCACTTGAACCCCAGAGGTTGCACTGAGCCAAAAATCACACCATTGCGTTGGGCAACAAGAGCAAAACTCCATCTCAAAAGAAAAAGAAAGAAAAAAAAAAAGAATTTGAGCAAGAAAGAAGACAGGTTAGAGTTTAGTCCTCAACTTCTCCTCAAACCCTCCACTTAGCACTACATAAGCCATCTCATCTGGTTGGGAACTTACACAAAAACTGAGGAAAATAAGTTATTGCCACATAATCAGAATAGAGGTTCAAATAGAAAAAGTGGAATGATTGAAAAGTAAAAAAGGCTACATTTATTACACACCCTAGTTTGTGAATTAAGATGTCTATTTGTTATTCAATAAACGGGTTTGCTGAATGAATAAAATAATTGAACAAATAAATGAAAATTAAAAATTTGAAACAGATCCATGTTTGCCCAGGGTGAATGTTTTCGATGAGGGAGCCATAGGCAAGGTGGACGATAATAAAAAGAGATAAACTCACCAGGCGTGGTAGCTCACTCCTGTAATCCCAGCAGTTTGCTACTAAAGATACCAAAAAAAAAAAAAAAAAAAAAAAATTAGCTGGGTGTGGTGGTGTGTGCCTATAACCCCAGCTACTCCGGAGGCTGAGGAGGATAATACATCCAACCCGGGAGGCAGAGGAGATGGCACCATTGCAATCCAGCCTGAGCAACAGGGCGAGACTCAGTCTAAAAAAAAAAAAAACCAAAAAGAGTTAAACTCTGTAAAATATTTTAAGAGATTTATTCTGAGCCAAATATGAGTGGCCATGGCCTGTGACACAACCCTCAGGATATTCTGAGAACATGTGCCCAAGACGGCTGGGGTGCGGCTTGGTTTTATACATTTTGGGGAGACATTAGACTCCAATCAAATGCATTTAAGAAATACATTGATTTGGCCCAGAAAGGTGGGACAACTCGAAGTGGGGGTTGGGGGAGGGAAAAATGTGTCCTTCCAGGTTATAGGTAGATTTGAAATTTTTCTAATTAGCAACTGGTTGAAAGAGTTATCAAAATAAAGGAATGTCTGGGTTGTCATAAGAGCTTGTGGAGACAAACGTTTTATTCATGCAGATGAACCCTCCAGGTAGCAGGCTTCTGGGAAATTAGATTGTAAATGTTTCGTTGGTATTAACCCGAGAAGTATAATTAGATGAGTCCGACCCCTACTTCCAGTCATGGCCTAAACCAGTCTTTCAGAGTTTTAGAGTGCTCTGGAGGAGGAGAAAGTCCATTCTGATGGTTGGGAGCCTCAGAATTTTATTTTTGGTTTATCACAAACAGAAGCACAAAGGTCTAGGGATCCAGAATCATGGTTTTTGGTGACCATGGACCTCGAGGTGATGGTAAACCTTTTGTACTTAGGGTGTTTTCCTTGGGATCCTTTCTATGAGAAATGTAGGCGAGGTTTTATTTTTCTGGGTTCCTAGTGGTGAGGTGAGGTGCCTCAAAAGAAAAAGGACCAGTTCTGGCTTCAGGTATCCTATCCTAACCTTGAAAGCAGTTAACAGTGGGCCTATCTAAATGGTAGATACTCCGTAATTAATAGGTTACTTCTTACTCTGGGTCCTTTTCTCCAAACCTAATTCGTCTAATCACTTCTAGGCCCCGCCCCTTCTGAGCTCCCCTCCTTCGGCCTGTGTGATAGGCTCTTCCTCCGTTTCCGGCTTCTCGGACTCGAGGGCAATACGGCTTCCGGTGTCATGGCGGCTTAAAGTCCCGGGAGTCGGTGAGGCGGCTGCAGGTCCCTCCCTGCGGAGCCGCTGGTCCGGCTAGCGGGGATGTGACCGCGGGATCTGCCGGCCTGCCTCAGGCGTCGCGTCAGCTCCTGTGTCCGTGCCCTCAGCCCACACCGATGGCGGGATCCGGCTGTGCCTGGGGCGCGGAGCCGCCGCGTTTTCTGGAAGCCTTTGGGCGGCTGTGGCAGGTACAGAGCCGTCTGGGTAGCGGCTCCTCCGCTTCGGTGTATCGGGTGCGCTGCTGCGGCAACCCTGGCTCGCCCCCAGGCGCCCTCAAGCAGTTCCTGCCGCCAGGAACCACCGGGGCTGCGGCCTCGGCCGCAGAGTATGGTTTCCGCAAAGAGAGGGCGGCGTTGGAGCAGTTGCAGGGTCACAGGAACATCGGTAATTGCCGCTGTCTCCTTTCTCTTCTTGCCCAGGTCACAGTCCCAGCACACTCTTCCTCTCGCTGTCTGGCGTTCTGTCTTCCCCCGCTTCTGCAGGAGAGGCGGGTCTAGCCCTCTATCACCCGATCCAGGCCCCTTTCCCCTTTCACCTTATTACTGTCTGCAGTGTAGTGGAGTTGGTGGTCTGGTTTGCTCAGTGTCACACAGATGCTCAGTAAATTCTATCTTGCTTCGAGTCTCATCGGAGAATGCCGCATTTATTAGCATCAGAACTATCTTTTCTAGTGAGAGGAGGCACATCTTTGCTAGATTGTCGTGTCTTGTGTGGAAATTTTTGAATCTTTGCATACCAGTAGAAAATGGGAACCTTGTCTAGGGCTTGTGACATTAGTGCTAGTAACTCATACAGCTCACCTGGTATATATTTAGTACAGATTTGGAGGAAATGATTCACTGTTCCATGGGAGCCCTTATAGAAGTGTGAAATTTAGGAACGCTGTACCTTTGCTCCCGTGAGACTGTTTTATAACTCAGATATTCAGAATGTGAGATATGTAATGATCGCTGATGATTGATCTTTGAAAAGTCTTCATTTTCATTACAGGACAGAGAGCTTATCATTAGTTATAACTTTGGTTATTAAAGAAGTCTTATTTCCTAGCAAGTATGTAGCATGTTTAATTTGAAGAGTGAGTTTTTTTATAATCCTATTTTGGAGAAGAATTACTTAACACTGATGCTACATTTTTTTAGTTTACTAGTCCATCACTATAACCTTGGTATTGAAAAGGAAAAATTTTTGTAAGCCTAAGGACTTGCTGAATCTCTGCAAGATTAGTTAAAATTTCGTCTGGAAAGTCTCAATCTCTTCGTTAGTATTTAGATTATAGAGAGCTGTTTATTTTTCTGTTCCTTTTTTTTTTTTTTTTGAGACAAATTCTCATTTTGTCATCTAGGTTGTAGTACAATGGTGAGATCACAGTTCACTGCAGCCTCCAATTTCTGGGCTAAAGCCATCCTCCTGCCTTAGCCTCCCAGGTAGCTGAGACTACAGGCATCTGGCACCATGCCTGGCTAATTTTTTGTAGAGAGGAGGTCCCCCTTTGTTACCCAGGCTGGCCTCCGAACTTCTGGACTCAAGCAGTCCTGCCTCGGTCTCCCAGAATTCTGGGATCATGGGCATGAGCCACCATGACAGGCCTGTAGTGCTATTTTGTTTGGATCAAGAAGCAATCTTTAGTTTGGTTTCTGCACATTGTGACATTTCTTTTAAAAGAGTTACTTTATATTTGGATTCTTTTTAAAATTTCCTTTTTTTTAAAAAAAGGACCTCATGATGCAACAATATTATTTATTTATATTTTGGATTTTTACTTTTAATCATTTTCACTTGGCACTCCAAGTTCATGTTCACCCACCACTGAGTACTTGGTGAAACACGAATAATTGTACCATGTTTAGTATCTGTGAATGGTAATCAGCTGTTGTAGGCTGTCTCATCTTATTTTTATTAAAATAACCCAATTGCGCAAAGATCTTATCCATGGGAAAAATAAATTACAGTGGAAGCTTGCTTATGGAAATTATTCTTATCTAGACTCTCTCAAATTTGTATTGCAGTTACCTACTTTAATGGTGACTTACTCTAAGTCTGATTCTTAAAGTATTATAATTTCTTTTTCTAGTGACTTTGTATGGAGTGTTTACAATCCACTTTTCTCCAAATGTGCCGTCACGCTGTCTGTTGCTTGAACTCCTGGATGTCAGTGTTTCGGAATTGCTCTTACATTCCAGTCACCAGGGTTGCTCCCTGTGGGTGATACAGCACTGTGCCCGAGATGTTTTGGAGGCCCTTGCTTTTCTTCATCATGAGGGCTATGTCCATGCGGACCTCAAACCACGCAACATATTGTGGAGTGCAGAGAATGAATGTTTTAAACTCATTGACTTTGGACTTAGCTTCAAAGAAGGCAATCAGGTAGGAAATAAGAAATAACCTTTTCTTTACTCTCGCAGTTGTAGTCGAAGCCAAGTGTTTTCAATTGACAAGATAGTTTAGTAGGGACTTACACGTCATTTTTATCTAGAATACTGAAATGCCAGGGGATGCAGCAAACTAAAAGAATTTCAGTGCCACCGTTTAAAAAAAGGACATAATGTTTGGGTCAGGTAGGAGGAGCCAGTGAAGAACGAGAGCTCTGGCATTATTAAAAGTACTTAACCTACATAGAATGCTATTTTAAATTTTATGAACGTTTGGCTAGTCGCTGAGTTCCTGATCTCTTCAGTATTGGGGCTGTATCTTATGGCAGAATGCATATGATAGTTCCAGCAAATCCTCCATTCTCCATGGTTTATTGTTTCTTTGCAGAATGTCCTTATTTTCAGCAGTGTCTAATAGGTAAGAGACAATCCAAAGAAGACTTCTTTGTGAGCACCGTATGGAAATGTACAGCTTGCCTCTGAGAACTGCCCCCAGTTAATGAACCAGAGAATACGATAACCAAGGACTAAAAATTTTTAGCATTTAGTTTGGCAGTAGATTTACTGTACTCTTAGAGAAATAAACACACTGTAGAGATGGATAGAAAGGGAGCAGCTTTTTTGCTGGTTGTAATATTTATTTATCTTCTTTAGGATGTGAAGTATATTCAGACAGACGGGTATCGGGCTCCAGAAGCAGAACTACAAAATTGCTTGGCCCAGGCTGGCCTGCAGAGCGATACAGAATGTACCTCAGCTGTTGATCTGTGGAGCCTAGGAATCATTTTACTGGAAATGTTCTCAGGAATGAAACTGAAACATACAGTCAGATCTCAGGAATGGAAGGTAAACTTCACCAGTGCTTTGCTTTGGGGTTCTTACTTGCAATGTAAGAGTGTTCAATTTATGATGATTCATATATATTTTTTTTTTTTTTTTTTTTTTAATTTGAGACATGTTTCACCCTTTTGCTCAGGCTGGAGTGCAGTGGCACGATCTCAGCTCACTGCAATCTCCCCCTTATGGTCTCAAGTGATTCTCTGCCTCAGCCTCCTGAATAGCTGGGATTACAGGTGCTCGTCACCACTCCTGGCTAATTTTTGTATTTTTAGTAGAGACAGCGTTTCACCATGTTGGCCAGGCTGGTCTCAGAACTCCTGACCTTGTGATCTGCCAAATCACGAGGCCAAAGTGGTGTGATTACAGTTGTGAGCCACTGTGCCAGGCCAATTTATGATGATTCTTGTCCAGAATTCTTGATTGCTTTCTGTTGTCCATGCTCATCTTTTTCTATTTATGATACTTAAATGTGCTAGTGAGTATTGCATTCTTATTGTTCCTGGCCTGCGCCTAGGCTTGGCATATAGTAAGTGCTTGATAAAAATGTCTGAATGAATGCATTTTCCTAAAGACGCAAAAGTGGTTTCTTTTGCTTAGTAACCGTTATATTGAGTTCTAAAGTGTTAACTAATACAACCATAGCTTATGAGTTAAATGATAATTTTTATAGGTTATCTTAACTGCTTTACAGTTTAAAAAAATTATTTTTACTGGGCATGGTGGCTTACACCTGTAATCCCAGCACTTTTAGAGGCTGAGCTGGGAGGCTCACTTGAGACCAGGAATTTGAGACCAACCTAGGCAATGTAGTGAGACCCCAGTCTCTAGTAAAAATAAAATTATAAAAGGTATTTTAATACTTGTTTAATATCAAAACCAATAATCATTCCAAAGCATTGTATTTATTAAACCTCAAAAAAGTATCCAGGTGTGATGGCACACACCTGTAGTCCCAACTACTCAGGAGGCTGAGGCAGGAGGATCACTTAAACAGTAGCCTGAAGGATACTGCTATTATCACAACATTAAAGCCCCACAATACCTTTGAAAACATACTGTAGTTAATTCCTCATTTATAAACCCACAAAAAGTTCATTCAAATATTAGAGGTTTTTGATAGTAAGCAGCAAGCATTTTTTTGAGCGTCTAATACATACGGTATAGCTATTATAGCATACAGTTTTCTTTCTTTTAAACACCTCGTTACTGATTTCTGTTGTAGCATTTCCTGGAAGGGATACTTTAATAGCTCAGTGTATGTATCTGATGCTTGTATGGGTAAAAATTGCTTTCTTGGGAGTAAAATCAGTATCATTCTTTATTATTGGTACCCCAGACAATCAAGAGTCTAAGTATTCTTTCTTAGTGCTAATCCAAACATAGATCAGTGATTCGAATGAGCTTTGAGTATCTTTGAGTCTTTTGAACTAGATCTGTTTGGCCTAGAGCTCATCAGAACTAGATCACATTCAAATTTGTGTGAAATTCATAGGGACGATATGTAGTAATAGGATCTCCAATATATTCCTCTAGATAAAGCATTATTTTTCTGTTTTATCACTTTCTGTGGGGGCAAAATTGCCAACTGATTATGAGCATAGGCCCTAAAGTCAAACTACTAGGGTTTGTATTTTGCCACCACAAAGATCTTACCAAGTTATTTATTTAGGTTCATCGCTAAGCCATGGTTGCTTTCTTTAGTATGAGGATAATAATGGCATCTATCTCATAAGACTATTGAGATTAATAAATGATACTTTTAGCAAGCAGCTCATGGTAAGTATTTAATATATTTAACTGATAATGATAGTATCAGTTCTTTTAACTCACGTACACAGTTCTAAATTTTGAGTTAGCATAATATTCAAGGAGAAAATATATTCTTAAAGATTTAGAGAATGAGTAATATGACAGATAAGATGTTTTAATACTGCCTCGTATTCTCTTATTTCTGTCTGAAAGCCAGTTCAAGACTCATCACAGAGATACCCTGAGTCACCTATTATACATTCATTTTTGCATTAAACTACATTCTTATATGGTTACTTTGGTATTTATTTTTTATTCTTTCATCTAGTAGATGTTCATAGAGTGCTAGGTGCTGAAAATGGAGAAAAAAACTTTCTTCTCTAGAAGTGTATAATTATGTATATTATTTCTTCTGTTAATATTGTATGCTCTTGCTGGGCATGATGGCTCACGCTTATAATCCCAGCACTTTGGGAGGCAAAGGTGGGCACTTTTTCACTTGAGCCCAAGAGTTTGAGAGCAGCCTGGGCAACATGATGAAACCCCGTATCTACGAAAAATTAGCTGGGTGTGATGGCACACACATGTATTTCCAGCTAAGCAGGAGGATCACTTTTGACTGGGAGACAGAGATTGCAGTGAGCTGAGATTGTGCCACTGCATTACCACTTGGGTGGCAGAGCAAGACCCTGTCTCAAAAAAAAAAAAGCGATGTAGGCTCTCACAAGATAGTGTTTTCTGTTGCATTTTACTCATTCAAATAGTGCTGTGTGCCTATTAATCAATAAAAACAGACTGAATAACCAAAGGAGGACTTTTCTCCCTTTCTTAAGGCAAACAGTTCTGCTATTATTGATCACATATTTGCCAGTAAAGCAGTGGTGAATGCCGCAATTCCAGCCTATCACCTAAGAGACCTTATCAAAAGGTATGTTACCGGCCCTGTAAGCTTGCTTTGCATACATGTACTATGTGAAGTGGTATGTCTTTTTTTTTTCTGAACAGATTTATATTATTATTTCTAGTTTGCTTGATCCATGTGGGTGTTTTGTTGTCCTAGAAATAAGTCTATGCAGGCTAGCTTCCTATAAGGAACATAAGTAATCAAATAGTTTTACCAAATTTATTTCCAAATGAATGTTCTTTTGCTCACAGTATCAGATGTTCCACTTTTCCTGGCAGCTGCCTTTTCACTGGAAGATAGATCCTGAGCCACTGTACCTTTGGCCTCTCGTAGCCCTGGTAGTTCGGTATACTCGATGGAAAGCTGATTTTTTAAAGAAGTCTTCATTAACTCAAGATTGAGTTTGCTTTTGCATTACTCCCCTCCTCCCCCAAAAAAGACCCAAAAACCATTTTAAATAATTACCTTTGACAATGGTCTGAGGACAGATACAGTGTTTCTGATACCTGAATAGATCCAAATACAATAGATATTTTGAAAATACAAATTGTACAATCATGTCATTTAACAATAGGGGACTGCTGTGAGAAATACGTCATTAGGTGATTTTGTCATGCTAACATCATAGAGTACTTACATAAATGTAAATGACACAGACTTCTGCCCACACCTAGGCTGTCTGGTAGAGTCTGTTGCTCTTAGGCTACAATCTATATAGCATGTTACTGTACCAAATACTATAGGCAACTGTTACAATGGTAAGTATGATTTGTCTAAACATAGAAAAGGTACAGTAAAATTATAGTATAAAAGATTTAAAATGTCATACCTGTATAGGGCACTTAACCATGAATGGAGATTGCAGGACTGGAGTTGCTCTGGGTGATTCAGTGAGTGAGTGGTGAGTGAATATGAAGGCCTAGGACATTACTAATGACTAAGGGTAAACACTGTCTACTTAGCCTTCACTAAATTCATTTTAAAATTTTTGTTTTCTTCTTTTTTCCACTCTATCACCCAAGCTGGAGTGCAGTGGCACAATCTTGGCTCACTGCAACATCTGCCTCCCAGGTTCAAGTGATTCTCATGCCCGAGCCTCCCAAATAGCTGGAATTACAGGTGCACGCCGCCATGCCCAGCTAATTTTTGTATTTTTAGTAAGAGACAGGATTTTACCTTGTTGACTAGGTTGGTCATGAACTCCTGAACTCAAGTGATCCACCCGCCTTGGCCTCCCAAAGTGCTGGGATTGCAGGTGTGAGCCACCGGGTCTGGCCATGATTTTTTTTCTCCTATAATAAATTAACCTTAACTTAACTATAACATTTTTACTTTATAAACTTTAATTTTTCTTTATCTTATTTACTTTTTAAATTTTTTTGTTGAAAACTGAGACACAAGCACAACTTAGCCTAGACCTACACAGGATCAAGATCATCAATATCATTGTCTTCCACTTCCACACATTATCCTACTGGAATGTCTACAGGGGCAATAACACGCATAGAGCTGCCAAGTCTCCTGTTGCCTTCTGGAATACCTACAAAGGACCTGCCTGAGACTATTTTACAGTTAACTTTTTTTGGGGGGCGCACTCTAAAATAGCAATAAAAAATATATAGTTAAAAATACATAAGCCAGTAACACAACTATTTATTGTCATTATCAAATACAGTAGTTTTATTACATCTGTGTCCTATTACAACAAACACGTTACTCACCTGCATTACCACAAGCATGTGAGTGATGTGTTACGATAGGACATTATAACTACGATGTCACTAAGTGATAAGAATTTTTCAGCCCAGTATAATTTTATGAGATCACCATTGTATATATGGTCCATTGTTGACCAAAATGTCATTATGCAGTGCATGACTGTATTATTAAATAGTAGGCTTTTCGGGTTTCTAGACCATGGATCAGAAGTGAAAAAAAGAGTACGCTAGAAAAGTATGGATCCCTTGTTTGAGTCAGCGTGTTATAGTTTCCTTTGAATATTGGACCTATAAACCTTCAAATTAGTTTTATTAACGTTTTACTTTGAAATAGTTATAGACTCACAGGACTTTGCAAAAATGTTAGAGAGGTCCCTACCATTTACCCAGTTTCCCCCAGTGGTAACGTCTTACATAATTGTAGTATGTACAGTATCAAAACCAGTAAATTGAAACAGGTATAATCCACAGGATTTATTCTGATTTCACTAATTTTATGCATGGCTTATTTGTATGTGTGTTTTTCATGTTAGTTTTAAATAGCCGTTAGTATCTGATTGATAGGAGATATTATATATTACATTTTACATTGAAGAGATGGCAGTGAAAAATTATAAAATGGATTGTAGCCTGGAAGTTAAATCATCTAAGTTCTACTAGTATTAACTTTATTATTTGTTTTTTATTCTTTAAATAATAGTCCCCCCATCCATTTTACATGGATTATTAAATTTAGAAACTATAGAAAGAAGTGATGAGGAAAATAAAAATTATTAACCTATGTTCTAGTGTTAGCACTTTGGTATATTTCCTTCCACTGTTTTTCTGCATATTATGTTATATATGCATGCATGCAAGTCGCTTCAACCTTTTTTGTTGTTGAATAAAGCACAGATACTGAAAACACTAATTAAACAAAGGTATAGCTTAATGAATCTGTAGGAGCATTGTACCCACCTCGTAACTACCACGTACATCAAGAAATAAAACTTTGCAGCTACCCTGGAAGTCCTGTATGTGTCTCATCCTAATCTCATGCATTTTTCTTTCCTTGAGTGTCTTATATGTTACTGCCATGTGTTCCTGTTGAAAGTTTGATGACTCAGTAATTGCCTTTTCATTAAAAGTCACTTGGTCTTCCTGCCTGGCCAAGATGGTGAAACCCTGTCTCTTCTAAAAATACAAAAAAATTAGCTGGGCGTGGTAGTGTGTGCCTGTAATCCCAGCCACTCGGGAGGCTGAGGCAGAGAATTGCTTGAACCCAGGAGGTGAAGGTTACAATGAGCCAAGATTGTACCACTGCACTCCAGCCTGGACAACAAAGCGAGACTCCATATCAAAAAAAGGGGGGAAAAAAAAGGCACTTGGTCTTCTTTTCTAGATTCCCGGAGGATTTTATCTTTTTCTTTAATGTGTAGTAATTTTACCAAAATATATTTTGATTTTGATTGTTCTGGGTCAGTATTCTCAGAAATACGGTATGCTTTTCACTATGTAGTTTCAGATCTTTGTTTTTTTGTTTTAAAAAAGTGTTCTTAAATTAGACTTTTTAGTATTTTTTTTTCTGTTCTTTTTGGTTTTCACTTTTATGTCCTCCTAGTCTACATATGTTTGATTTTCTTGGCCTTATATTCAATATTGCCATTTTTGTCTCTCTCTTCTCTTTCTTTCTTTCTTTTCCTTTCTTTCCTTTCTTCCCCCCTCCCCTCCCTGTCCCTCCCTACCCTTCTCTTCCCCTCCCCTCCCTTCCTTCCCTTCCATCTTTCTTTGAACAGACTTTTTGCTCTATTTCCCAGGCTGGAGTGCAGTGACACGATCTTGGCTTGCTACAACCTCTGCCCACTGGGTTCAATTGATTCTCCCACCTCAGCATTCCAAGTAGCCGGGATTACAGGCTCCTGCCACCACGCCTGGCTGGTTTTTGTATTTTTAGTAGAGACAGGGTTTCACCAAGTAGCCGGGATTACAGGCTCCTGCCACCACGCCTGGCTGGTTTTTGTATTTTTAGTAGAGACAGGCTTTCACCATGTTGGCCAGGCTGGTCTCAAACTCCTGACCTCAAGTGATCTTCCCGCCTTGTCCTCCCAAAGTGTTGGGATTACAAGTGTGAGCCACTGAGCCCAGCTGTCATTTTCTCTTGAATCCATATTATCTCTTTCATTATTTCTTTTTCCTATCTTTTTTCATGAGGTCCTACCATATGCCCAGGCTGGTTGTAAATTCAAGTGACCCTCCTGCCTCAGCTTCCCAAAATGCTGGGATTACAGGCATAAGCCACCATGCCTGCCCGATCCATTATTTCTTTTTTATTTTTAAAAATGACCTTTTTGCCTGCCCTTTCTCTTTACGACGTTATGTTGTGTTTATTCATCTTTATATCTCTTGTAGTGTAATTTTATTTTATGAAATGATTTTTTTAAGTTTCTAATTCTTTCCTGAGTTCTATTACCTTATTTTTATGATTTTCAAATTTTGATTTCTGTTGCTGTTTCACATCCTGTATCATTTTTTTAAAATGTCCTTAGTTCATTTGAATTTTTAGGGGGGACAGGGGAGACAAAGTCGTACTCTGTTGCCTAGGCTGGAGTGCAGTGGCGTGATCTTGGCTTACTGCAACCTCCGCCTCCCGGGTTCAAGTGTTCCTCCTGCCTCACCCTCCTGAGTAGCTGGGATTACAGGTGGACGCCACCAGGCCCAACTAACGTTTGTGTTTTTAGTAGAGATGGGATTTCACCATGTTGACCATGCTGGTCTGAAACTCCTGATCTCAAGTGATCTGCTCTTCTCAATCTCCCAAAGTGCTGGGATTATGGGTGTGAGCCACCATGCCCAGCTATTATAACCTTCCATTTCAAAATGAGCTAAATGGCCCAGCGTGGTGGCTCATGCCCATAATCCTAGCACTTTAGGAGTTGGAGGCTAGCAGATCACCTGAGGTCATGAGTTCAAGACCAGTGTGCCCAACATGGTGAAACCCTGTCTCTTCTAAAAACACAAAAATTAGCTGGGCCTGGTGGCATCTGCCTATAATCCCGCTACTTGGGAGGCTGAGGAAGAGGTTGCAGTGAGCTGACATCGTGCCACTGCACTCCAGCCCAGGTGACAGAGCGAGACTCTGTCTCAAAAAAAAAAATGGTAGACTATAATGTTCATCTGTTATATGGTCATATCTTTCTGGTATGCATTCATTATCTGAGAGGTTTCATTTTGCAGTTATCTTTTTGTACAATACATTCTTTCCTTCTTTCTTTCTTTTTTTTTTTTTTTTCTGAGGCAGGGTCTTGCTCTGTCACCTAGGGTAGTGTGCCATAGTGTGATCACAGGTCATTGCATCTTTAACCCGTAAGGCTCAAGTGATCCTCCCACCTCCACCTCCCAAGTAGCTGGGACTATAGGCATGTACCACCATGCCTGGTTTATTTTTTTGTAGAGACAGTGACACACTATGTTGCCCAGGCTGGTCTCGAACTCTTGGACTCAAGTAATCCTTCCACCTTGGCCTTCTAAAGTGCCAGATTACAGGCATGAGCCACCATGCCCAGTCAGTTATAATCCTTTTTATGTTGCTTATTTTTATGTGTAAATTATTTTCCTAAACTTACTTGGGAAAATGTACTTGGGATAACTTTTCTAGATATACAAGGCTCCCTCTTCTGTTGTTTTGTGTAATATTCCCAAAAAGTAGTTTTTTTTTGTTTTTTTTCAGAAATGTTCTGGCTCTTCTCTTCTACTTTTTTCTGGTGCCCCCCTCTCTCTCTCCCTCATCCTGTTCAATTTATATTCTGTTCCTAAGTTTTCTTCTCACTGTGGGCCTTTGCACTGAAAGAAAGCTTTGCCTGGTTCACTTTAAGAGAGGTCTTAGTGTCTAGATTACTCCAGCCTCTTAGGATGTTACGAAGAATTGCTTGTATTCACTTAGTATTAGAATATATACCCCTTATAGTTTCAGCTGCTTTTCTCCAGCAGCCTGCTGTGCTTCCAGTACGTTTTGGCCGTTTGGGGTTATTTTTTTCTCTGGTTCATCAGATCAATTGTAGCTTTCCTTTTCCTCCTCACACATAGATGCCAATATGGTGCAAATCCTACTACTATTGATAGTTTGTCACTATAGTTTTTTTTTTGAGATAGAGTCGCACTCTGTCGCCGAGTATGGAGTACAGTGGCACAATCTCGGCTCATTGCACCCTCCACCTCCCAGGTTCAAGTGATTCTCCTGCCTCAGCCTCCCGAAGAGCTGGGACCACAGATGCACGGCACGATGCCTGGCTAATTTTTTGTATTTTTCAGTAGAGATGGGGTTTCGCCATGTTTTCCAGGCTGGTCTCAAGCTCCTCACCCCAAGTGATCCACCCACCTCCATCTCCCAAAGTCCTGGGATTCCAGGTGTGAGCTACCACACCTGGCCTAGTTTTTGTTTTTTAAGTGACTTATTTTTACTTGATAAATGCTTACCTGCTATAAGGAAGTAAAGGTCTTTTTATGCCACAAACATTTCAGTAGCTCTATAGAGATACATAAATTTTATTAGAATTAACAACATCTTAGTCTTTTTTTTAATGACATAAAATTGTATGTATTTATCATGTATACCATGTTTTGAAGTATAGATACATTATGGAATGATCAAATCTCATTAATGAACAAATGCATTACTTTATGTAGTTATTTTTTGTGGTGAGAATATTTAACATTCACTCTCTGTGTTTTTCAAGAATCCAGTATATCATCATTAACTAGAATCACCATGTCCTGCAGTCGATCCCTTGAACTTATTCCTTCTATCTGATTGTAATTAGGCATCTTTTGGCTTTGGCCAATGTCTCCCCAAGTTCCCCTCTTCTGTAACTTCCCCACCCAGCCTCTGGTAACTGCCATTCTACTCTCTGCTTGTGTGACATCAAAGCTTTTTAGAATTCACGTATGAGAGATCGTGCTGTATTTCTCTTTCTTTACCTGGCTTATCTCACTTATCATGATGCCCTACAAGTACATCTATGTTGAAAGTAACAGGATTCGCTTCTTTTCAATGGCTGAATAGTATTCCATTGTGTGTGTGAGTGTGTGCGTGTGTGTGTGTGTGTCTATATATATAAATACATATATATACACGCATACATATATATAAATATGTATCACATTTTCTTTTTTTACTCATGCATTTTTTTCTTTTTTTTTTTTTTGCACTCATCTTTTTATTTATTTATTTATTTTTTAAGCTAACATCCAAGAAATGAACACTTACCTGTTAATAGATACTCAGGTTGATTCCATATCCTGGCTATTGTGAATAGTGCTACAATAAATATGGGTGTACAGGTATCTCTTCAACATACTGGTTTCATTTCCTTTGGATATATACCCAGTAGTGGGATTGCTGGTAGTTCTTTTTCTTAAATCTTTTTGAGGAACCTCCATACTGCTTTCCATAATGGCTTTACTAATTTATATTCCCACCAACAATGTATGAGAATTCCCTTTTCTCTATATCCTGTGTCTGTTTGATAATAGCTATTGTAGCACATATGAGGTGATACCTCATTGTGGTTTTGGTTTTTCATTTTCCTGATTAGTGATGTTGAGCATTTCTCATATACTATTGGCCATTTGTATGTGTTCTTTTGAGAAATGTTTGTTCAGGTTTTTTGCCCATTTTCTAATTGGGCTGTTTGTTTCCTTCCTCTTAAGTTGTTTGAGCTCTTTTTTTTTTTTACTTTTTTTTTTTTTGAGAGAAGGTCTCGTTCTGTCCTACAGGCTGGAGTGTAGTGGTATAAAATGGCTCACTGCAGCCTTGAATTCATAGGCTCAAGCGATCCTGGAACTCCAGGTGCATGCCACCACACCAGCTAATTTTTAAATTTTTTTGTAGAGAGAGGATCTTGCCATGTTGCTCAGGCTGGTCTCGGACCCCTGGGTCCTCCCACCTCTGCCTCCCAAATTTCTGGGATTACAGATGTGAAATACCACACCCAGCCAAATTAGGTTCTTTATATATTTTGTACATTACTCCCCTAGCAGATGTATAGTTTGTAAATATTTTCTCCCATTCTGTAAGTTGTTTCTTTACCTTGTTAGTTGTTTCCTTGGCTTTGCAGAAGATTTTTAGTTTGATATAATCCCATTTGTCTGTTTTTGCTTTTGTTGCTTGTGCTGTTGAAGTTTTGGATCTTACATTTAAATTATTAATCCATTTTGAGTTAATTTTTTTGTATAGGTAAGAGATAAGAGTCTAATTTTATTCTTCAGTGTGTTGATATCCAGTTTTCCCAGCACTATTTATTGAAAATACTGTCCTTTCCCCACCATGTATTCTTGATTGTAAATGTTTTTTTCTCTGGGGTCTCTGTTCTGTTTCATCAGTGTGCGTGTGTCTGTTTTTAAATCAATACCATGCTGTTTTGGTTACTGTAGTTTTGTAGTATTTTTTTGAATTCAAGTAGTATGATGTTTCCAGCTTTGATCTTATTTCTCAAGATTGCTTTGGCTATTTAGGGGGTCCTTATAGTTTTTGTATAGATATTGTCAATGGGTTTTTGGTTTTGCTATCTAGTTGGGTTTTTTATTTTTAGTTGTTTATTTATTTATTTTTTGAGACTCAATCTCTCTCTTGTCTGATAGTCTGGAGTGCAATGGCATGATCTTAGCTCACTGCAACCGCCACCTCCCGGAATCAAGTGATTCTCCTGCCTCAGCCTTCCAAGTAGCTGAGATTACAGGTGCCTGCCACTAGGGCTGGCTAATTTTTGTATTTTTAGTAGAGACAGGGTTTCATCATGTTGGCTGGGCTGGTCTCGAACTCCTAACCTCAGGTGATCTGCCCTCCTCGGCCTCCCAAAGTGCTGGGATTACAGGCCTGAGCCACTGTGCCAGGCCTAGTTGTTTTATTATTAGAGAAATTGGATAAGCTTCAGCAATCATCCCACTACTGTCTTTTTTTGTGTGTGTTACCCTAAATTTGTGTGTAGCTTTTCTTCATTCACTGTTACAGTGTGTGGATCACTTTGTAGTGCTTCATTTATTAATCAAAAGTGTTATTTTAAATCACAGTATACTGTCATAGGTATGTATCATGAATTACCGAACCATTTACTAATAAATAGCATTTGTATTCTGTATAGGTGAATGATTTGGTAAATCATGCTAATATAATTAATGCTGTGATAAACATTTAGACGTTCTTTCTTTAATGGTTGCATTTTCAAAAGATTCAGCAGAAATGATAAGCCACCTATTTTTGTATTTTAGCATGCTTCATGATGATCCAAGCAGAAGAATTCCTGCTGAAATGGCATTGTGTAGCCCATTCTTTAGCATTCCTTTTGGTAAGTTGTATATTATTTTATTTTTTTTCTTGGTCATTTGACAGTCATAAAGGACATCAGCACTAATTTATATTCCCAAGTTCCTTTATCTAATGTTCAACTTATTTGGGGGGATTTACATTTAACTGTATTATGATGAATTTTAACAGCCCCTCATATTGAAGATCTGGTCATGCTTCCCACTCCAGTGCTAAGATTGCTGAATGTGCTGGATGATGATTATCTTGAGAATGAAGAGGAATATGAAGGTTAGCATTTTCTAAATTATATTTTAATGTATCTTTCTTAAATAAGTCTGGAATAAACATAACCGTAACATTTTCATATTTCCCCGGTTTAACTGATGAGAATATTGAACAGTGTGATCTCTAAAACACTCTCACTTTTTTTTGAGCTAGAGTTTCGCTCTTGTTGCCCAGGCTGGAGTGCATTGGTGTGATCTCAGCTCATTGCAACCTCCGCCCCCAGGGTTCAAGCCTCAGCCCTCCAAGTAGTTGAGATTACAGGCATGCACCACCAGACCTGGCTAATTTTGTATATTTAGTAGAAATGGGGTTTTACCATGTTGGTTGGCTTGTCTCGAACTCCTGACCTCAGGTGATCCACCATCCTCAGCTTCTCAAAGTCCTGGGATTACAGGCGTGAGCTACCGTGCCCAGCCCTCTCACTTTTTTATTTATAATGTCCTTTTGACTCTGTTACATTTCATCTTTACCCAATTAACAAAGAAGATTAATTTTCCCAACACCTTCTATCTCTCTGCTGTCTCTTCTAGCCTTTCCCTGTGCTTGCATTTCTCCATTTTAGCTCTCTTTTTTGCTTTTAACATTCATTCATTTAAGACATTTTAACTGAGTATTTACTATGTGCCGTTGTGGGATTACTTCACATCTTAATGTAGTAGGGGAGACAGATACATAAACAATTATAGTTGTGTTAATCTGAAGATAGTGTACTATACAAGGGCAGAAAGGACAAGTACTTAACTCAGCCTGAATAATTGGTAAGGGCTCCTCTACAGAGGTTTTATCTGAGCTCAGTAATTTGGAGTTGCTTGGCTGAAAGTTGAGGGGTTAGGGCGTAAGTAGCACAAATACATAGAGATGAAAGTGTCAGAAAACAGCAAATTGGCATGACTGTATCTTAAGGTATTTGCTGGGGAGCAATCAGTTAAAGCTAACAAGGTAGCCAGAGTACAGACAAGTTTGCAATGTTTAAGAATTTGGATTTTGTCCCAGAGATAGTAACACCAAAATACAGATACATGAAGAACTTTGCATCAGGTATAGAGTAATATCTAGTTTATGGTAAGTATTCAATAAATATCTGTTCTTTGTTGAATGCAGTAAGGAGTTTATTAAATACATTTAAATGGGAGAATGATAGAGTCAAACTTGTGTTTTAGTAGGGACATTCTGGAAACAGAGGGGGAATGGACTAAAGCAGGGCCAAACTTGGACCAAGGACAACAACTGTGAAGTATTTGCGTCAACCTAGTGTTACTACTAATAGAGAGACAATCTTGTGTCGTGGTTAAGAGTGTGGACTTACAAAAATTAGCTGGATGTGATGGCACACACCTGTAATCCCAGCTGCTCGGGAGGCTGAGCTGGGAGAAGTGCTTGAACCCAGAAGTTAGAGATTACAGTGAGCTGAGATTGCATCACTGCACTCCAGCCTGGGCAACAGAGTGAGACTCCATCTCGGTGGGGCAGGGGCGGGGGAGAGTGTAGGCTGAGTTTACATTATGCCTCCATCACTTACTAGTTTCCTTGCAGTTTTCTGCAAAAGAAGGAAACTACAGTTTCCTCGTGTCTGAAATGGAGATAATAAATAGTACCTATCTTGTAGGGTTGCTGTGAAAGTTAAATAATATATAAACATTTCCTAGAACAATGCCTGGCAAACAGTAAGCACTCAACAAATATTGCCTATCGTTACCCACTAGAATATATGCACTATGCAAGCCAGTTTGTTTTGTTTATTGCTATATATTAATGTCACTGACCCGCAGTAGGCACTCGGGTATTTATTGCAGGAAGAAAGATGGAAGGAGAAATAATTCACAAAGAGCTATATATAATCTATCTAAATGTAGTGACTGAGTGGATATGAGAGCACGAAGTGAGGCAGGTTTGGGTTTTTCTTGAGGCATCTGAATTGAACCACTTGACAGGTGGTGGTGCTAGTTAAAGAGATAAGGAATAAAGGAGAAAAAGCAGACCTTAGGGATTCATTTTGGACAAGAAGAGGGATGCCTCCTGTACTCACTGAAATAGGTTGAAAGAGAAAGAATTTTTGTTGTGGCTGTATCTAAGTTGTGGAAGTCAGAAGTGAAAGTAGGTAGGAAGTCAGTGTGCTCCTGCATAGTAACCAGATATTTTCTGTAGATGACCTTTAGGACTCAGTTTTGAACTTTTAGATTTCTTCCTATTTATCGTTGTATTTACTTTCAGGTTTTAATTATTTTGCTAACAAATGAGGCTCAAATATCTTCTAGATTCTTGACCTATTTTTAATTTCTGTATCTTCTGCCCATAAATTATATCAGTTTTGTATCCTTTTAATATTTAAAATGGAAAAAATTTAAAACAGAAAGCTTTATTTTGTACTGTTCCCTTTTCATTTTACTTTGTTTCTTGTTCTCTGGCTTATCTTAACACTTAACTTTGTGCCTAGTACTTTATATATATTACTTAAGAGGTGGTAGTTACTTTTTCAGTTTATAGATAATGGAAGTAAACTTAGGCTTAGTCACAAAGCTAGTAAATATTTTAAAAGCCGGATATTTAGGTGTGTATATCTCTAAAGCTCTTTTATTTTTCTATTTAAAAATACTAATTGCGTAATATTTAGTCTTGTTGTAGAAAATTAAAATGTTACAGATAAGGTTAATTATATGACAATTCCTCTTGTAAATCATTTTATGTCCCTACAGTATAGTGAGAACTGTAATTTCTTTGAGTCTGTGACCATTTTAAGAGTCTTGAGTTTTCAGGATATGTGTCTGAAAGAAAGTCTTGCCTTCAGCGTTGTTTCAGGTCACAAAGGTCCAGTGGCTCTGAATTTCTTGGGATCAGTTCAAAATGCTACTTAGTCCTTTCAGTCTTCATCTTTGTGATAACCTGCTGTCTTCATCACCTCATCCTGTCTACTCCAAATAATTTTTATCTCTGTACAACTGAAGCTTGGGCTTTTTTTGAATAAACCTTTAGACTACCATATCAACTCTTCTATCTTGCTATGACTTTTTTCTGCTTTTAAATACACTGAGTCTTTACATTTTGTTTAAATGTTGCTATCAAATCTGAAGTGAACTAAACTGCAACAGACAATATAGTACCATTAATTACCTTTGTTACTTTTGATGAACAGGTTCATCACAAAATAACAAATTGCTTAGCTAGAAATTATGGTATGTGTTGGAACAACTGTCTTGTAATCTTGATAGAGGCAGGGAAGAACATTAAACCTTACATTACAGACAAAATTAAATTTTAAATCAAGTCAACATTAAAATACTAAAACAAGTAAGGGAATGAAATAGGGAAGGAGGGAAAAGTGTGAGGGAAGGAAGTAGGGCAGGTGGGAAGGAGAACTTTTTAATATAAAAAGTCATTGTAGAATTTTGTTTTTTAATATTCCTGATGTGGAATATTAAACTCAGAAGCAGTAAAATTATTTTACTTCGTTTTATGACCCTAAGAATTGTGACCCTAAGCAAGATTAAAAGACAAATGATAGTTTAAAGAAAAAATATTGATAGCTCTTATTACAGTTTATGGAAGAGGAAGTGACAAGTGCTTTACACATAATGCTTTTCCTCCCTCTTGTTGAAATGCTAATTGGAGCCAAACCGCATTATCTTTGTTACCCATCAACCACATTGACAATGATAGAACATTGGATTATCCTCTTGTGAGTGAGGGCATAGGAAAGCAGACATTCTTGTACATTGCTAGAGAAAGTTTACATTGGTAAGCCGTTACAGAAAGCAAATCAGAAAAATTACAAATTTATGTCCATTTTGACCTACCATTTCCATTTCTGGAATGTCAACTTAGAAATACACAAGTGAGGTCAGGCGTGGCGGCTCAAGCTGTAATCCCAGTACTTTGGAAGGTTGAGATGGGCAAATCACCTGAGGTTAGGGGTTCGAGACCAGCCTGACTCTCATGGTAAAACCCTGTCTCTACTAAAAATGCAAAAATTAGCTGGGCGTGGTGGCACATGCCTGTAGTCCCAGCTACTTGGGAGGCTAAGGCAGGAGAATTGCTTGAACCTGGGAGGTGGCGGTTGCAGTGAGCCAAGATCATGCCACTGCACTCCAGCCTGGGCAACAGAGCGAGGCTCTGTCTCAAAAAAGACAAAGAAAGAAATACGCAAGTGAAATGAGATATGCATGGGGGGGTCTATTGTGGTACTGTTTTGAGTGATAAAAATTTGGAAATTTTTAAATTATTTATCAATACTGGACATATTAGATAATACATTAAGGAGAAAATTTTATGTGATAATTTGGAAATATCTTAAAGGACATGTTTAATATAAAAAGTAAGATATTTGCTTTTATAATTTGTTTTATAATTAGTATAAACTTTGTTTAAGTTTATACTAATTATGGCAGACTACAGAAGAAACTGGTGTTATCTGTTGCCTTCAAGGAGAGTAGAAGCTGAGAGGAAGACTGTTTTTTAAAATTTGGAGTCATTTGAATATGTCAACTATTCAACACATAAAATGCCCTCATTACTAGTTATGTATTCCTGAATTCTTTGATGACTGAAAAATTTCATATATTGAATACTTGTTAATTATATCAGAGTAGTTACTCTCATATGTTTTAATAATCAGATGTTGTAGAAGATGTAAAAGAGGAGTGTCAAAAATATGGACCAGTGGTATCTCTGCTTGTTCCAAAGGAAAATCCTGGCAGAGGACAAGTAAGTGAATATTTTTATAATTGCAGAATTACCCAGATGCGATTAAAATTCTGTGTTTAATGTTTTAGTTCTGTAGGAAGATGTACAAAAAAATTTTGCTAAGGATTATGGTTTTGCATTTTAAATGATTTTTATATTCTAACTTGTACTTTTTACTTCTTCTGAAAGTTCTATAATATGCATTTTTTTTAGCACTTAAAATTTGTTTTAAAAAAATATCGGCTGGGCCTGGTGGCTCACGCCTATAATCCTAGCACTTTGGGAGGCTGAGGTGGATAGATTACTGGAGGTCAGGAGTTCAAGACCAGTCTGGCCGACATGGTAAAACCTCATTTCTACTGAAAATACAAAAGTTAGCTGGTCATGGTGGCACACGCCTGTAATCCCAGCTAATTGGGAGGCTGAGGCAGGAGAATCACTTGAACCCACGAGGCAGAGGTTGCAGTGAGCCAAGATCCTGCCATTGCACTCCAGCCTGGGCTGGGAGGAGTGAGACTTCGTCTCAAAAAAAAAAAAAAAAAGACTACTTTTGAGCCGCTGTAAACAGTAACACCAGGCCAGGTATGGTGGTGGTTCATGCCTATAATCTCAGCACTTTGAGAGGCCGAGGCGGGTGGATCACCCGAGGTCCAGAGTTCAAGACCAGCCTGGCCAACATGGTGAAACCCCGTCTCTACAAAAAATACAAAAATTAGCCAAGCATGGTGGCGAGCGCCTATAGTCCCAGCTCCTTGCGGGGCTAAGGCAGCAGATTTGCCTGAACCTGGGAGGCTGAGGCTGCAGTGAGCTGAGATGGCTCCATTGCACTCCAGCTTGGGTGACAGAGCGAGACTCCATCTCAAAAAAAAAAAAAACGGTAACACCAACTGCTGAATCATGCTTTATGTCAGGTTTGGCTAGAGAAATGTTTTAGTCTAATTTTGTTCTAATTGGGTAGAGTTAGAAAACCAATTAGGTTAGGTTCTAATTGTAATAGCAACTGTCAGTGATAGTTTAAAGAAGGAAAGTGTGTTGGACTGAGAATTCTTGAACCTGAGTTCTGGTCTCTTTATGATGATCCTCAGTTTCTCCATCTGTAAAATATGTGGGCTAAAAGTGTTATCACCACATTTTTATAAAAACTCTTAATTCCAAATTAAATTATATGAAGAATATAAGAAAATATTTATAGTATTTTTATATCTGAGAATAGAATATTGGGTTTGCTGTATCTTAGGGTTTCTCATTCTTGACATTGAGGCTGATATGTTAGAGTAGCTGTCCTCTACCTTATAGAACGTTTAACAGCATCCCGGACTTCTCCCCACTTTGAACAACAAAAATGTCTCTAGACACTGCTATATGTCTGCCCTCTAGTGGGTGAAGTCATCTCTGGTTGTGGATTGTTTTCTCTCTTTTTTTTTTTTTTTTTTTTTTTTTTTTTGAGACAGGGTCTCACTGTTTCCCAGGCTGGAGTGCAGTGGCGTGCTCAGCTCTCTGCAGCCTCTGCCTTCCAGGCTCAAGTGATCCTTTCACCTCAGCCTCCCGAGTAGTTGGAACTACAGGCACATGCACCACCACACCTGGCTAATTTTCTGTAGAGACTAGATTCCACCATGTTGCCCAGGCTGGTCTTGAACACCTGAATTCAAGTGATCCACCCTATTCAGCCTCCCAAAGTGCTGGGATTGAGCCACTGTGCCCAGTTATTATTTTATTTTAATAGCTTAGTATCATGAACATTCCTGGCAACTGAAAAAATATGAATGTAATTTTATTCTAGTTCTAATGAAAAGTTATTGCCAAACTAATGTGATAATACTTTCATTCTGTTGTTTTGTTTTGTTTTTGTTTTGAGACACAGTCTCGCTCTGTCACCCAAGCTGGAATGCAATAGCATGGTCTTGGCTCACTGCCACCTCCACCTCCTGGGTTCAAGTGATTCTCCTACCTCAGTCTCCTGAGTAGCTGGAATTATAGGTGCCTGCCCCCATGCCCTGCTAAATTTTTGTCTTTTAGTAGAGACGGGGTTTCACCATGTTGGCCAAGCTGGTGTCAAACTCTTGACCTCATGATCTGCCTGCCTCAGCCTTCCAAAGTGCTGGGATTACAGGGGTGAGCCACCACACCTGGCCCATGATAATAGTTTTTATGTCATTTAGTGTCACATACTGAATACTAATAATAATTGTGTCCTTGCTGTTTGGTCATTTAACGTATACTTATTGAGCATTTATTATGTTCTAGGTAACTGACATAAAAGTGGTCAAATCAGATTTTTTCAAATGGTGATAAGTGCTAGGGAGAAAGATAGATTAAGGAAGAAGCTTAAGGAGTGCTGGGGTAGGTAGAGTGGGTTGCACTTTTAAATGGGTGATAGGGAAGGGCATACTAAGAAGGTTACAGGAGTCTATATTAGAGAGAAGCGAGGAAGAAAATTTTAGGCAAAAGGAACAGCAGGATCCAAGGCTCTGACTATTCCTGGCAGATTTGAGGCCAATGTGGCTGTAGCAGAGTGAGAAAGAAAAATAGTAGGAGATTAAATCAGAGAGGAGATTAGGGAGCTGTAGGGGGCATATTAAGTAGAGTGAGCCTGGTAGAGCATTGAGATAACAGTGGCTTTTACTCTGAACTAGGGTGAGGTATTGGAAGATTTTAAATGAAGAACTAACAGGATCTGCCTTAACCCCAGTGGTCAAAATGAAGTGGAAGATACAGAATAGAGAGACAGGAGACATCTTTTCCAGAAGGAAGTATCCAGGTTTGAGATGATATGAAAAAAGTATCAGTGAAAGGAAAGTTGCTATTTTGAGAAGTTTTTACTGACATTTAAAGGAGAATGAAAGCAGCTTTTGATAAACTCCTGAAATCAGAGAGTTAATCTATTTAGGCTTTTGAAAATGTTCATTACCTGCTGACAAAGCCATTCCTCATTTGAATTTTCAATTCAAGTAAACATGATTTTATAAGGAATATTACAAAAACCACTGAAAAATAATGAATACCTCTGATAATGCAGTTATAAAAAGTAATCAGGATTAGAGTGATATAGCCCTTTGATTTCATAATGAATTATAAAAATAAGATATGATGCTTAGTGTGGGATGGTGCAGTATAAAAAAGTATAGTCTAAGGCCAGGTGTGGTGGCTCATGCCTAAAATCCCAACACTTTGGGAGGCCGAGGAGGATGGATCACGAGATCAGGAGATTGAGACCATCCTGGCCATCAACATGGTGAAACCCATCTCCATTAAAAATATAAAAATTATCTGGGTGTGCTGGAATGTGCCTGTATTCCCAGCTACTCAGGAGGCTGAGGCAGGAGAATTGCCTGAACCTGGAAGGCGGAGGTTGCAGTGAGCTGAGATCGCACCACTGCACTCTAGCCTGGCAACAGAGCGAGACTCTGTCTCAAAAAAAAAAAAAGTATCATCTATCTGAACAAAGAAGTATGATGGAAAACATAATATTCCTTCTATAAATGCATTCCTACTCATTTATTGAACTTTGGTGTATAGGTTTGGGAATAATTAAGAATCAGGTAAAAAAAAATGAGAAATAAATTCATTATTCTTTTTTGTGGAGGAGTGGGGGGAGACAGGGTCTTGCTCTGTCACCCATGCTGGAGTACAGTGGCGTGATCTCACCTCATTGCAGCCTCAGCTTCCTGGGCTCAAGTGATCCTCTCCACTCTGCCTCCCAAGTAGCTGGGATTACAGGCGTTTGTCACCACACCCAGCTAAATTTTTGTATTTTTTTGTAGAGATAGGATTTTGCCATGTTGCCTAGGCTGGTCTTGAACTCTAGGACTCAATCTGTCTACCCACCTCACCTCTCAAAGCTATAGAATTACAGACGTGAACTGCCACCCCCAGCCAGATTCATTATTTTTATTAAGCATTATGTTCTAACTTCTTTTGCATTTAATGAAAAAGTATATATTGCTAAAACTGGTCTTGCAGACAACTTACACTTTTATTTTTATAGAAAGGTAAAATATTAAGTATTTCTAAGATGAAATAAAATGAGAACAAATTAGTTTATGTATTTCATGATACATAGTTCAATAATACAGGTATTATTACATAAATTATACCTACTTGGAAAGAAATCACATGAAATTTTATCAACAGCATTTTCCCCATGCAATTTTACCTAAACAGCCTTTCTGTTTATACTGCTGTGGCCGTTTGAAAGTGCTTTTATTTCCAGTTAATGACACATTTTAGGGATGTGTTTTAATAATAGCTGGCAAGCACCCATTTACCTTTATATGTGTAAAAAGAAAAAAAAAGGCAATATTTGCATTAGATGATCTGTACTTTGTCTTAAAGAGCAATGTGTAGCTTAAAATAGCCATGGGATAGAAGATGCGAAGCCAGTCTCACTTCTCCATTTTTCTTTCTTTTTTTTTTTTGAGGCGGAGTTTCGCTCTCGTGACCCAGGTCAGAGTGCAATGGTGCGATCTCGGCTCACTGCAACCTCTGCCTCCTGGGTTCAGGCAATTCTCCTGCCTAGTCTCCCGAGTAGCTGGGATTACAGGCACGCGCCACCATGCCCAGCTAATTTTTTGTATTTTTAGTAGAGACGGGGTTTCACCATGTTGACCAGGATGGTCTCGATCTCTTGACCTCGTGATCCACCCCGCCTCGGCCTCCCAAAGTGCTGAAAATCCCATCACAGGCCCAAAATATCCTAGGTCTCATGTCTTATATCACCCCTAACAGAAATATTTGCATAGGATAGTAAATGACAGGTCATGGGCAGGACATGGGGTTGTGTGTATTCACAAAGGAGGATTCCATAAAAAACAGACTCCTGTATTAGGAATTGCCCTTTTTTTGTGTCCTGAAAGTTTTTATAAATAGCTTTGTTTTGTCAAGTGGGAGAAAGGCTCCTTTGAAAGGGGAAATAAGAAAGGATAACCTTCCTGAACTTGTAGGTTGATGAGTTTTAGGGAAAGGTACAAGTGAAAGTTGAGAACCTGGAAATTGATTTTCTTCTAAATGATCTATTCTCATATCTCTTCAGAAGACTCTGAGTGTTTTAGGATGCTGGAATACCAGTTCAAAGACTATTATTGACAGAATGAATGAGGCAAACAACTGAGGAGGGAGAGGCAGTTGTTTCATTTACTGGTTTACAGGGTAACTAAGGACAAGTTATTTTAAATCATTTCATCTTCCTCTAACTTTTGCTTTAGGTCAAAAAAAACACTTATAAATTATGTGATATCCTCTTTCTATCTCAGGTAGGAATTCAAATGCTCTGAAAAAGGAAATTACCTAGTATTAAATTTCTTCCTTTACTATAGTTATGATGTATAGCTTCTACAAATTATACCTCTTAATAGGTGCAATTTCTAGCAGTTTTTGACCAACATTTTTTCCTTTTTCAGTTCTAAAAGTACAGATTATCTTCCAGGTACCATGGAAATGCAGTTGCTATCTGGGCTATTCAACCATGTCTGTGGCAGATGTCTAGTGCTATTCATCACTCCTGTAATGACCTTGGCAAAAGGTTGTACATGATTCACCCAACTTGTCTTTGAGAGATTCTTCGGAATTGAGCTGAGTTGTGAGGAGGTACTCTAAACCGTGCTGCTCTAAAGTATAGGTCATGGACCAGCAGCATCAGCAGCATTGGCATCAACTGGGAGTTTGTCTAGAACAGAAACTCACACCATCTTAGACCTAAGGAAGCAAAATCTGCATTTTAATAAGATCTGCAATTGATGTATGTACATTATAGGTGATAAAGTTTTGGTCTAAAACAATCTTGGTGGAAATGAAATGATGTTTTTTCCTCTGTCTTCTTTCAGGTCTTTGTCGAGTATGCAAATGCTGGTGATTCCAAAGCTGCTCAGAAATTACTAACTGGAAGGATGTTTGATGGGAAGTTTGTTGTGGCTACATTCTACCCGCTGAGTGCCTACAAGAGGGGATATCTGTATCAAACCTTGCTTTAATCAGTAACCTAAGAACTATTTCCTTTTTCTCCTCTTCCATTTCTTGGGTTATTGTATTCCACACCTGAATGCAAGAGCACCCCCTTACCATTTTAAGAAGGTACTCTGTACATTTATTTAATCCTACTAACGTGCAGCCATTGCCCAAGCAGTGACTGCATTGCATACATTTGGCACTGAGTAGGACAAGACCTCTCAGCTATACATTGAGGGGTTTTAGAGCATCCATGTGGGCAACCTATTCTTGTGCAGGAGAGCAGGTGCTGCTCTTCTGTTTGTAACCTAAAAACATATTAATTATTTTGTGTGATCATGAAGCAAGAATGCATACTATCATGTCTTGGTAAATACTAACAAATTTGTTAGGTTTGGTGACATCATTTACAGATTATATCTTTATGTTGTCCAGTGGTTCTTCCTTATTGTTGATATCCATAAGCTGGCACTGGATGCTCTCAGTAATGTTAAGTAATTGTCAAGCAGCAGTTACCTACTGTGTTCTTAACACTGAGTTGTGAATTTTTTCTTAAAGGAGTACTGTAGTACTGAATATTCCTTTAAAGGAACTGCGGTGAGCCTATCTAAGATTTTTTAAATTAAGGCTTTTCAAATAGAAAGCTGATGCTTGATCTTGCACAATTTTTATGTCTAGTATGTATGCTTGAGTGAGTGCGCAGGTATGAACGATTAGAGAAAATTTGAGTCACTGTACTTTATAGTGTGAATCCTGTGAGCTAATACAGTCTAAACTCATTTCTTCCCTACCTGTTTCACATCGATAAGATTTAGGACGTGCATTTTTTGAGAGGTGGTCTGTCTGATCCAATGTAAATGACAAAACAGATAATTCCCGAGAGGCTCAGAACAAACTGGAGTCTAGCCTGGAGTTACATTGAGACTTCTAAAATGATTAGAACAAAGACTGAGTTTTGCCACATGTAAATCAACGCCTTTCAGTCTAATTTAGATTCCGTATTAGCTCATCTTTTTTGTACTAAATCTGTAGTTTTAAGATTTCTCAAGATGTGGCTCTACCTACTATGATGGAAAATTGAAGTGGGTCAAAAGAATTAGATATACAATAAAGGGAAAAGAAAAACATGGGTGAAGAGAGGATAGAAAATAAAGAATTCTTTTTTCTTCCTTTCTGTTTCTCCTATCCCTGCTCCCTTTTTCCTCCCCTTCTCTCATTCTTTGCCTCTATCCTTACCTGAAGATAGAGGAACAGCATCCCAGATAGTTTGGCTTTTGACTGCAAGGAAGTTAAGAAAGGTGTAGATATAATGAGATAGAAGTAGAAAGGAAGAAAAACCCAAAGACTTCTTAAGGAATTCTTAAAAGGATTCGTAGCAACCTGATGTGTCCCTTAGTAGAGAGTGCTGGTATGTGTGAGTTCATGGACACAAGTTGATGACATGGCTTTTAGAATTATAATTATGGATTCCTCTTACATCCTGGTAGGTTGTCTTTAAAGATATAAAAATTAGGACACCTTTATGAAGCACTGATTATACCAAAAAAAAAAAAAAAAGACAAATTGTATACAGGTGACAAATTTTTTTATTTATTTATTTTTTTCCTAAGGAAAAAAGTCTTTTATATCTTTCCCTGCTGGAAGCCTCCTCATAGTTCCTTGTTTGCCATGCAGGTTGCTGAGAGTCCAATTAGAATTTGCATTTTAGAGAATGAAATATTTTACCCCATTCAAACAATTAGTGTTGGACATTTTAGTTATTTACAGTTGTCAAATTCAGGACTCTCATTTAATGTTTATTATGAAACCAAATTTGGCATAAGGAGGCTGATTTGTGAATTACCAAAGGGTCTTGCGGCATGTTCCCCAATATGTGCCCTTAGCAGGAAGAACTGTTATTTTTTGTTTTGGCCCTTTCAGAGGTTGATTAAATGGATTTGTTTTCAAGTCAGAATTCAAATGAGCAGAACCAGTATCGTGAAGACCTAAACTTTTCTAAATGTTCATATGGGTAGCAGATTTTGTGGTGATTAGAAACATCTCTTCCTTAAGGGCAAGTATCCTGAATTAGCACGTGTACTTTTCTCTCCCCTCCTCCCCCAAAAGAAAATTCCTTACACATAAACTGCAGGTAGGCTTCTAAGCTTAGTCCTGCAGCATGCTGCTAACATCCTGATGCCGATCTTCACAGCATTCTTTGATTGTCATCTTATTGCTGATACATTCATACATATATTTAGTGCTTGACACTGTAGAATTTTATTACAGAAGATTTTAACTAGATTTTAAGGGAGCTGAGGGAATTGATCAGCCTCGAATTAACCATGCGTTTAATTAAATGTTTTATATTAAAGCCAGAGAATTGAAAAAAAAAAATGCCTCCTGTGATTTAAATTATTTTATAGCTCTTAGCCCATTCTACCAAAGATGATATTAGCAGATAACCCCTCCCTCTTCTAATATTATCAGAAGTTTAATATCTTTCTTAAACCTGAACCAAATATTATCAAAAGATACAAGTTTCATGATTAGGATGAAATACATACATAGGGATTTTGATTTCTTGAAATTACTGAAAAAACAAGAAATTTTCTTTTTGAGAGGAAGGGTAATGAGGTGAGGGTTCATGTCTCTTAACCCCTACCCTTTGGGTCTAATTTTATCTCAGGTAGTTTTTCATTCCCTAGATTAATACCTGTACTTCCTTGCCTCTTGCCTTCCCAGTTACTTCTTCAGAGTATTATTGTGGCACATTTTACACCCAGAAAAGGCACATGCAGTGATTATTCTGTAGGAAATACTTGATTCTTTTGAAATATATTTGGAGGGGGTAGCTAGCTAGCCACTGTGAAAACTAATGCTGTATTTACAGGACAAAAACAAGTAAAGTTGGACATCTCAGTAAGAGACAGCATTAACTAAAAGTATTGACTGCCTTTTAAAGGAATTTTTAAAACTATCCTCTTGCAATAAGAGATGGCATTTATTACCACTAGATGTCTTCCTTTTTTGTGGCCACCAATATAGCAGCTCTCTTTAGAGGGGTTCCCTTTCTGCTATGCCTTGAGCCAAACTGGCTGCTTTTAGAACAAAAATCATAAGTATAGTTTTACTCAAACTTCTCTTTGTTTTCATTGAGAGAAATATTGCCTTCTTTTTGGTACTCCAGCTGCTAAAGAGTGCTGAGATATGTTAAATTATTCTTTAAAAGAAAATCTCTGAATACTTATTTAACTTGTCTTCTAGATTTGTGTTGCTTATATTTTTTAACTATTGAGCAAATTTATTATAAGGTTTGCTGCCACATAGAGAAAGCTGAAGGGAAACCATGAGCAGAAGGCTTTTTTCTGTCTTATTACACTGGACCTTCACTCTGGTAAGGGCATCAGTTACTTTTCTAGAACAAAAGGCAGAGTTGGAGCACTTATCAAATGCTGTTCCATGGCTTACTTTAGTTAATTCACCATGCAGATAATTAACATTTTGGTATCTTTCTCTTTTAGGTCTTGTTTTCTATTAGGCCTATCTTACACATAATTACTACTATCAGTTATCCTTGGCGGTATGACTTTCTCTTTTTCTTTTTTACAATTAATTTAATGAAAATCAGCACCATTGTAAATGATAGTAATTGTACCAACATAGTTACTGGGTGAAGGAGTAGGGGAGACACTCAGTAACTATTTATTTACCGAGACGCTTATGCAAGGGTACATGCTAGGTGGCTTTATTCAGATTGGGGTACAGATGGAATCACATCATGACTTTGAGTCTGGTGGATGTGTAGATAGAGATGTAAGCAAGTGCCTTGTGTTTCCTGGAAAATACTAAAACTCATTTGGGTGAAAGCTTCCCAGATGATGATAATTAATAGCACTTCTGCCTTTTTCCTGGAGTAACTTTTAGATTGAGTAATATAATATAAAAGTCCAAAATTTTCTTGGTTTACCTTTTGTTTTATTTTTCACATCTATCTATATATAATTATTATTTTTTCACTATCTGCCTGAAAATAGCCTTGGTTTACCTTATTTTTTTATATGTGTAAAACTACTCATATTTGATTTTATTCCAATATTACATATGATGGAAAAGCCAGAATTGGCTGGCAGAATTTAATTCTTCCTTGGATCTGTAGTTCTGCTTTTTTGTTTTTTTTGAGACAGAGTCTCGCACTGTTGCCTGGGCTAGACTGTGCAGCAGTGTGATCTCAGATCATTGCAACTTCCGCCTCCTCTGTTCAAGCAATTCTCCTGCCTCTGCCTCCTGAGTAGCTGGGATTACAGGTGTGTGCCACCACACCCAGCTAATTTTTTTTTTTTTTTTGTATTTTTATTAGAGATGGGGTTTCACTATGTTGGCCAGGCTGGTCTCGAACTCCTAACCTCATGATCTGCCCGCCTTGGCCTCCCAAAGTGCTGGAATTACAGGCGTGAGCCACCGTGCCCAGCCTAGTTCTATTTTTAATATCAAGTTCCTTCATCAAATTCTATTACTGTAGCTCTCTGATATAATTGTATTTCTTGTCAATTATGGTCACATATAGACAAGTCGTTGGTCACAGTTTGCTCAAAAGAATTCCCATTTCTTAAGGTGCTCAGTAAATCACTTTTATTTTGAGATGGTAGTTTTTCAAGTTAGCATTACTTACTAGCTTTCTCAATGAACATAAAAATGTTGTCTCCATCATATGGAGCTGAGCCTCTTGTGGTATATTTAGATAAGTCCCATTCTCAATCACAGAAGAACATGTATATTTTAGTTTGTGGATTACCCAGAATTTTGAAGATTTTGTTTCATTTTGTTTTAGGATAGCTTCTCTGCCTGATACTATAGGATATATCATGTTTGCTATTGTAGCTGCCTCCTTTAGGTGTTCTTCACTTTTTTTTTAAATTATATAATGACCAGAAGATTCACAGTGGCATGTACTTGACAAGTGCCATGGATATTTAAGAAGGTGGTAAATAGTTTTAATATTTTTGCTGTAATTTTATAGGAGAAATGGGCTTAAGAGAAATATCTATAAATCAGAGCGTATTTAGGAAATTTTATATTTTATAGGTGGTCATTAAAGTGACCTGCAGGATATAAGATTTACACAAACTTTATTCTCCTGATAGGAAATTTTTATTCATTTTCTTACACTCAGCACTTTCGTTCTGCCTTGTACTGCTTATGTGGATTAATGTTTTAAATTTGCTTTATTTGCGCTTTTCAGCGTTGTCATAATTATGGCAGTTGTGTTTGTGGCACTGTAAATCCTGGAATTCATGGGAAACCTATCAAATGACTGCTCTGGTGTTATTTCCCATTACATTTGGGTAGCTGTCACAATAACCAGAAGAAAGCTGGCGGCTCTTTTGAAGAAGGCCATGTATGTTTTGTTATCTAGGTTCATAGTATTTTAATTTAAAGGCAAAGAGAAGCATTCTGTCTTAATTGTCTTATATAACCATTAATCTTTTTTTGTGCAGAAGAGAGCTTATTTTGTTATACTGCTATGTATAATGGAAATAAGTCACATTCTGGGGGAAAAAACTGGAATTGTTCATATTTTGTTTTGGGGGGAAATCTTTATGGGAAAATCAGAGCTACTTGTTACCATAAGCCCTTACTATCAACAAGATAATTATTTGTAATCACTTTTTGTATCCCAGGTTGGAATTGCTTTCCCCTTCTAAGTTATCTTCCCTTAATAATATTTATGACATCAGGACAATGAGGGTATAAGAGCAAATGTAGTGAGGTATTCAAAAATCCTGCATATTTGGACTAAAACATTATTTAGTTATTTGAATTATATGTAGCTGTATTATTAGCATGGGTTGTCAGAAAATTGCCAATTTTAAGAGTAAAGAGGAGAAAGATAAGTAATAAAATAGAGGAGGTGAAGAAAATGGCTCCCTTACTGGTCTTAGTAATCTCCCATATAGTTAATGAGCTAAAAATGAACTTATAATTTAAGTTCCAGGTTTGGTACCACTAGCATAGAAATATTGCCTTTCCTATACATTCCTCATCATTGTTTCCTCAGAAAATTATTTTAAGGGTTTGTGGAACCAGATTAAATATCTATATTCAGTTTGGCCTAAGTTTTAAAAATAAATATTTATACTCCAGCTTTTGTGTATTTGGTGTACATCACCACTTATGCAAATCAAGGATCAGAAAAGTGGAGGTTAGCTATCTCCATTATTTCCTTTGCACATTGGGTACAGTGGGTGGCATTAGTATGCACTAGCTGCAAAGTTTCAGCACCTTACAGAAGTAAATATGTTTATTATAATAAAAAAGTTAAGCCGAATCTCTGTAGATTACTTACCTTGCAGAGTATAAAGCTGTCATATCTTTTTCAGCAGAATTTACTCTTCCATTCTTAATTTTCTTTTTGAAATATTTTAAATAATTGAACATTCCTTTACAACCTCGTAATGGTGTCAAACCTGGGGTAAAAGGGATTTTTTTTTCCTCGAAAGGGCTCCATCTTTGCTATCTGTTGATCACTCTTAGAAAATCTATTATGATCAATAAATTTTCACAGTTGGTGGCATCCTGTGTCAGCTGGAGTAGTTGGTTGTGAATATTAAAACCTGGTACTGTTTTCCCTCAGTAACGTGTAATTTTTGATAAGAAGGTATGGTTAGAAACAAATGTGAAAGATCACTTAAACCAAAGCCAGTTACAAGGAGTAATCTCTCCTGTTGGTTTACCTTCACCTCAGAACTACAAGAATATTACAATACATAGCGAAGAGTTGTCTGTAACATTTCTTCCAATTGTTTCAGTAGCATACTGGTCTTGGCATTTCTTGGCACTATGGTTCTGTATTCTTTGTGATGTCTCATTGTGAGGTTTGGTTTTGTTGTTGTTGTTGTTTTTTTTTTTTTTTAAAAAAAAAAAAAAAAAAAAAATAAGTGGGATTATTTATGTAAATGTGTGTCAGTACCAAAAAGTTATTTTCTCAAGTCCCTAAATTTCTGATTTCCATTTAAGTCTTCTAAACTCTTTTTCATGCTGAATAGCAAAGGACTTTTATTTTTCACTTTCCTATATTCCTAAAAAGTATGAACAATGCATTTCAGTTTACTGTATTGCATACTCTTTTGCTGAAGACTTTTTCTGTAAACACAATTGCCTTGTTCAGTTTTGTTGTAAACTGACGCACCGTAAGATGCACTGTTGATATGCTTCCTGATGTGTGTTTGATAAGAGTGATAAAATAAAAGCTTAAAAGTAAAGGAGTTGCTTTTTAATTTCAACTATTTCTGTACTTAGTATAAATACTCAGGTAACAGGTAAATAAATATATTTATTTTGTGATTTAATTCTAACTCAAAACTGCTATTAAAAATGTCCATGTAACTTCAATCATCCATCTCTAAAGAATATGATTTTTCATTTTTTGAAATCTTGCATCAAATTGACAATATTGAAATGTGATTTTTTTATTTTGGAAAAGTGTTCTTGATATTGTAGAAACAGCCTGGTTGGGCTAATGAAAAAAACCAGAGTTCAGACTCAGGAAATTTGTGTTTTAATCTTGGCTGTCTTATCAACTTGGATATCTTTAATCCAGTGATTTTGCTTTGATAATAGTTTTATTTTTATGTTGTGAGGACCAAATGAGATAATAGGTGCAGTAGTAATAAAACAGCCATAAATCATGAAGCATCAAGGTGAGGGATACCATTTAGTTTATATCATGTTTAGTGTTCCCTTTTTCAGTTATAATGGGAACTGAGACCAAATATGGGTTAAAGAGACTTGGCCAACATTTCCTAAAACTGAGAGATGCTATTTATATACTGGTCTGTCTGGGAGTGGCATTGGCACGTTGTTTTAGGAAGTTGGTGACTGATCTGGAAGATAAATTCAAGAGGAAAGTGTTGGTAGGAGGGACACCCTAGTAAGTCTCATCCTTCAGCATGTAACAGAATCACCTGGGAGGGCCTGTTAGGCTACCAACTGCTGGGCCCTCCCCCTAGAGTTTCCGACTGTAGTTCTTTGTGGGATTTGAGAATTTGCATTTCTAACAAGTTGTCAGGTGGGACTGCTGCAGCTGCTGGTGTGGATACCCGCACTTTGAGAAACACTCATCTAAACAATGGGCATTGTTAGGATTGAAAAGCAGAAGCGGGCCTTATTCAAGAGCTACTTAGTAGGAGTAGCTCAATCCCTTCTTCTCCCTGATGTGGAAATAGTGATAACTGAGCATTATTTTGCACCAGACATTGCACTAAATACTTTTGGTGCATTATCTTTCCCCCACCTATCCCTAATCCTCCCAACAAACCTATGAGGAAGGTATTAATCTTTACTTCATTTTATGGTTAAGGAAATAGATTGTTTAGATTACTTCCTAGAGTTTACACAGTGGACAAATGACAGAGACACCACTATGCTAGACAGCCTTCTGGTCAACCCAGTAATATCTTCCAGATCCAGCTTCCCTTTTTCATTTCCTCAGATACTACTTGGTTTAGTCCTTGATCTTTTACCAGAGTTTCTTACAAAATCCCTGTCTCCTGCCCTTGGTCTCTTCACACTGCTCACAGTTTTCATTTTTAAAAAGAAACCTGATCATGCTACTCATGTTTAAAATTCTTCATTTGATTTCCTGTTCTGCCCATTTGCCTTCAAAGTAATATCTAATTCCCTTGAATTGGCATATAAGACTTTTTACAATCTGGTTCCACCTGTCAGTCATGCCTCCTGTCTCTTTGCCTATTTATATTTCATGCTGCAGCTGCACCTACCTGTATTTCTGCAAAGTCCATACTTTTTCCTGTTTCTGATCCTCTTAAAATGCCATTCAGGCCAGGTGAGGTGGCACACGCCTGTAATACCAACACATTGTGAGGCTGAGGTGCGAGGATGGCTTGAGCCGGGAGTTTAAGATGAACCTGGAAAATATGGCGAAACCCTGTCTATATAAAAAAATAGAAAAACATTAGCCTGGCATGGTGGCATACACCTGTAGTCCCAGCTACCTGGGAGTCTAAGGTGGGAGGATCACCTGTGCCCAAGAGGTCAAGGCTGCAGTGAGCCATGACATCTAGGCACTCCAGCCCAGATGACAGAGGGAGACCATGTATCAAAAATAAAACAGGCAAAAATAAACCAGGTGTGGTGGTGCACACCTGTAAACCCAGCTACTTAGGAGGCTGAGGCACGGGAATCGCTCGAACCTAGGAGGTAGGGGTTGCAGTGAGCCAAGATCACGCCACTGCATTCCAGCCTGGGCAACAGAGCCAGGCTCCATCTAAAAAAAAATGAATAATAAAATAAAACAACAATAAAAGTGCTATTCAGTTACCTGCCTCCCCATCCCCAGTTATCTGTGTGATAAATCATATTTTTTTTTTTTGGAGATGGAGTCTCCCTCTGTTGCACAGGCTGGAGTGGTGCAATGGCATGATCTTGGCTCACTATAACCTCTACCTCCCAGGTTCAAGTGATTCTCCTGCCTCAGCCTCCTGAGTAGCTGGGATTACAGGCACAGGCCACAATGCCTGGCTAATTTTTATAATTTTAGTAGAGACAGGGTCTCACCAAATTGGTCAGGCTGGTCTCGAACCCCTGACTTTGTGATCCACCCACCTCGGCCTCCTAAAGTGCTGGGATTACAGGCGTGAGCCACCGCGCCAGGCCCATATTGATCTTAAAACAGTCGTTAATTTCTCTAGTTACCTTCCCTGTACTCCTCCCTGTCAAATTACTAGCACTTCTGTACCAAGTCTGTACTTTATATATATATATGCATTTCGTATGTGACTAGGTTGCCATTTTGTTTTGCCCCAAGTATACATACTCCTTATCAGCAGTGGATCACCTTACTCAGATCTGTATTCCTAGCACCTAGCATCATGCCTGGGCTATAGTAATTGCTCAATAAATGTTTGTGGAGTTGAAAATGAATTCGTAGAATCTGGCATCCAGTTGGATATGGATGACTCCAATATTTCAAAGAATGTCAGTTTAGGGTTTAGTTAGTTTGTTTGTTTTTTTTGAGACTGAGGTTCACTCTTGTTGCCCAGGCTGGAATGCAATGGCACAATCTTGACTCACTGTAACCTCCACCTCCCCGGTTCAAGTGATTCTCCTGCCTCAGCTTCCCGAGTAGCTGAGACTGCAAGTGTGCGTCACCACAGCCAGCTAATTTTTGGTATTTTTAGTAGAGTTCAGGTTTCACCATGTTGGCTAGAATGGTCTCAATCTCTTGACCTTGTGATCTGCCCGCCTCGGCCTCCCAAAGTGCTGGGATTACAGGCATGAGCCACTGCACCTGGTCCATTATTGTCTTTTTGAGATGTTACTCTGCAAAACTTATCTAAATGGGTGCTAGACAGAGTATTTACTATTTTGGAAATTAGATGGTTGGAGATATCAATTCAGTGATTAAGGGTATGAACTCTGTAGTAAGAGAAATGTGTTCATAATCAAAATATGCCACTGGTTGAGACTTTAAAATGCAACTTAACATTTCTCAGCCTCAGTTTATTGAACTATAAGATAAAAATAATATCAGGGCTGGGTATGGTGGCTCACACCTGTAATCCCAGCACCTTGGGAGGCTGCAGAGGAGGTGGATGGGTCAGGAGTTTGAGACTAACCTGGCCAACATGGCAAAATCCCATCTTTACTAAAAGGGCAAAAATTAGCTACTTAGATGGTTGAGGCAAGAGAATCACTTGAACCCAGGAGGCGGAGGTTGCAGTGAGCTGAGATCAAGCCACTGCATACTGCACTCCAGCCTGGGTGACAGAGCGAGACTGTGTCTCTTAAAAAAAAAAAAAAAAGACCAAAATAATTATTAGAAAATGACCTTAACTTTTGTGGTAAAAAAAATTTGAAGCATGTAATTGAAAATATTTTACATTGTTAATTTAAATATATGCTTTCCTCATTCTAAAAATTATCCAAATCAGCCAAATCAGCTATAGTCAGGTGGTATATCAAAGAGTCACTCCAGCCTGGGCAACAAAGCAGGATTTGTCTCTACAAAAGAATTTAAAAAAATTAGCCAGGCATGGTGGCATGCACCTGTAGTCTCGGCTACTTGGGAGGGTGAGACAGGAGGATCACTTGCGCCCAGGAGGTTGAGGCTGCAGTGAGCTGTGATCGAGTCACTGCACTCCAACATGGGCGATATAGAACAAGACCTCATCACTTAAAAAAAAAAATTCACAACTACCATTTGGAAAGTTCCATTTACTGTATATTTTCATATTCCCAAATTACTTTTTAGCAATTTACTATTGTGTACTAATTGTGGCCTAAAGTCATGTTTTTTTTATGGCCAGTAATAAATAGCAATTTTAGACAGTTATTTTAACAAAACGGCCACCTCCAAACAAACTATCACAACTGTTTTTTAGCAGTTACAGTAGAACCTCATAAAACCTAATACTGATAGAATAATATTCAATGACAAATAAAGGACACAGTAATCTTTAAAAATACAAACAGATATCTGTAAAGTTCCATCATGATGTAATGTATTGAGATAATCTGGTGAGGAAAAAGTCTGTATGTTTATTTCAGGCAAAAGAATTTATTTTATTCTTGGGTGGCCGGTTTAAATTTTATCATGTATTCATTTTAACTGTTGAGAATACAGTGCAATGAAATATATTCGGTCAAAAGAAGAATCTAGATTGTCTCTTAAAAACAGCCTTACAGTCAAGACAAATCTAGTGAGAATTTACTTCAGTGAGATGCCGGAAAGGTCTGGACTCATGAGCAAACCCCTGGGCGTCTTTTCAAAAACTTGTGGGTGAGAAATGAGCTCAGCTGGGGCAGGGTGTGGTGTGCTACATGAAGTCAGGATTTTAGAGAAGACACTGTTCCTCTCGCTCCCTGGGGAGGAACACTGCCCAGAATAGTAAATCATCTTTTTAAAAGTACTTAGACTTTCTACTCTATAAGGAAAAATACTAGTTTTATTTATCTTATTTTATTGTTTGTCTTTTTTTTTTTCTTTTCGTGGAAGATGGGATCTTGCTATATTGCCTAGGCAGGTCTCCAATTCCTGGGCTCAAGCCATCCTCCCGCCTCTGCCTTCCTAAGAGCTGGAATTACAGGTGTGAGCCACCATGCCCAGCCAAAAAATACTAGTTTTAATAGGAAATGTTTTATGTGCCAGGCCCACAAGGTGATTTCCTTCCTTCCTTCCTAATTCCCTCTCTCCCTCCCTCCCTCCCTCTCTTCTTTCCTTCTTTCTCTCCTTTCTATATTT